GGCGGGGAGGGGGCAGGCGGGGCGGCTCCGCGAAGGCCGGCTGCTCTCGCCAATGGCAGGGAGCGGGAAGCGTTTCATCACCAGCGCCAGCTCCCGTAGGCTGCTCGCCTCCCTGGCCGCGCCCAGCGACGCCCTCTCCCTCGTCCCGGCGGCGGCTCCGCCGGTGTTCGGCTCCCGGCGCTGGCCCCGGGGAAGGGGGCCCCCTCTGTTGCGGGGCTTCTGCCCGCATCTCCCGTCGCTGGCTCCGTCTTTGTTCCGCTGCAGTCACCCGAGTCACAGGGGAGCTCAGCAGCCCTGGCCGATGGCTGGGTTCTCAGGCACACAGGGTGCTCGCTAGCGCATCAGGCTCAGGGTGCTCGGTTTGTGTCCAGAGTAAGTTAGCAAGTCAGCAGAGGCTGTCTGGGGAGGCGGGGGGAGGAAAAAAGTTTTGGTTGTTAATGCAGTCGAGTTGGCAGGATTGTGAATTACTCGGTCATATTTTAGCTACAGCAGCCTAGGATAAACTATATTGACTAATATAACTTAAAATATATTGGTTCACAAGGGGAAAATAATGCCGGGCACAAGTCTAAACTGGGAGAGGAGTGGCTAGAGAGCAGCCCTGCAGAAAGGGACCTGGCAGTGCTGGTCGGCAGCAGCGCAACAGGAGCCGGCAGTGTGCCCTGGCAGCCCAGAGGGCAAACCGCACACAGCGTGAGTAGCGGGCCAAGAAAGGGGATCGTCCGGCTGTCTTCAGCACTGGTGCGGCCTCACCTCGAGTACTGTGTGCAGTGCTGGGCCCCACCATTTGAGAAGGATGTTCACGTCCTCGAACGCCTCCAAGAGGAGGGCAACGACGCTGGTGATGGGGCTGGAAGGCATGTCCCCTGAGGAGCGGCCGAGGACTCTGGGTTGCTCTGGTTTGGAGAGAAGGAGGCTGAGGGGCGACCCCTCTGCAGTTTCCTGAGGAGGGGACGTGGAGAGGGAGGTGCTGAGCTCTTCTACCTGGGATCCAGGGACAGGACGCCTGGGAATGGTTCAAAGCTGCATTGGGGGAGGTTCAGACTTGATGTGAGGAAGCATTTCTTTGCTGAGAGGGTGTTTAAACCCTGGAACAGGCTTCCTGGAGAGTTGGTCAATGCCCCAAGCCTGTCAGGGTTGAAGAGGCATTTGGGCAATGCCCTTAACAACGTGCTTTAACTTTTGGTCAGCCCTGAAGCGGTCAGGCAGTTGGGCCAGATGATCCTTGTAGGTCCCTGCCAGCTGAACTAGTCTATATTCTACTCTATTCCTGCTTAAACTAAGAAAGGGTTATGTTGAGTTCATTGATGGTAAATTTTCGTAGAGGCAGGGAACTTCTGTAGTGCAAAGTGTGTAATTGTTGTGAAAGTTCAGAGTAGTCATTTAATTTTAAAAGCTGCTGTGAAATTTTTAACTAAGAACCTATTTTAACTAGATAACGCTTACCTTCCCCAAAGTTGGCTGGTTTGTGGAATGTTTAATGAATAGTGCATGTGGTCATGCTTTGATATACCTGAAGGGTGAAGTTGCTGCCGGATTGAGATGGCTAAGAGGGGAGAGAGTAAATGTAGCTTGTCCCATAGGATACTTATTTTCTGTTGGTTGAACAATTTACACAAGAGAAGACTTGGTATCACTCTGCTCTTTCCTGCACTGTATAACCAACCTGGGCATTTTCAGGCATCTCTCTCCTGTCCTTAAGCACCACAGGGACCGTGACAATCTGCTTTCTCATGCTGCCGCTGCTGCGTATACTTTGCAATCGTGGGTCTCCTGGTGTGTTGCAAACTGTATTGCTTTCCTGCCTGAGCTGAATCCCTCTATGCATTGTATCCACACATCTGGTTGCTCTCCTAACATATACAAAGGTGAGGCTTTAGCCTCTGCAAGGAGCTGAAGATAAACTTTTAGCAGGGGAATCTTGTCTCGTGGCAGAGAGACATAGAAAAAGGACCCACAGCATGAAGTTAGGGGAGTCACAGGAGGGAGAGACTGAGGCTGACAGGCTCTCCAAGCTTGTGCTTGCCTTGGTCCCTTTTGGCTTTTCTGCCTGACAAAACCCTCTTTTTCTGCTGTCCCCTTGTGACACCCCATTTTCTTCTTTCAGT